AAATGTCTCCAGACACTGACAAATGTCTTCTAGGGAATAAAATCACCCTTGGTTAAGAACCAGTGCTATAGAATAATAATAATATTAGATGATGATGATAGTCAAGTACCAGTCAGATGCTACCGAGACAAGGTCCTTGCCTCTACTCCAATAAAGACAATAAAAGTAAATGGACAATAAAAATGCAGCCCTGGCCAGTTTTGATCAGCGATTAGAGCGTTGGCCTGTGGACCAGAGAGTCCCGGGTTTGGTTCCCACTAAGGGCACGTAACTCGGTTGCAGTCTGGCCCCGACCCTAGGTGGGGTCGTGTAGGTGGCCACCACTCAATGTGTCTCTCTTGCATCGATGTTTCTCTCTCTCTCTTCCTCCCTCTCTTTCTCCTGCTCTATCTGAAGATAAATGCAAAAATGTCCTTGGGTGAGGATAAAAACAAAAATCTTAAAATGCAGTTCAATAAAGTATTGAGCCCATAGGACAGAGCCAAATAAAAGAAGAAAAATGTGTTCTAGGCAAAGAAGGAAAGAAAAGACATCATGTATAGAGTTAGAGTTAGGTTAAGAAAACATATTTGGGCCCTGGCCAGTTTGGCTCAGCGGTTAGAGCGTCGGCCTGCGGTCCGGAGAGACTCGGGTTCGGTTCCTGTTAAGGGCACGTACTTCGGTTGCAGTTTGTCCCCGGCCCTGGTTGGTTGTGCGGGTGGCAGCCACTCGATGTGTCCCTTCACGTCGATGTTTCTCTCTCTCTCTCCCTTCCTCTCTCTCCCTCCCACTCTATCTGTACAAAAAATGGAAAAATATCCTCAGGTGAGGATAAAAAAAAAAAAAAAGAAAACATATTTGGGAGGAAAAACTGAATAGTCCATGGTAGTTAATAAAGCAGAGGGCTCATGGGAAGAACAGGAGAGTGGCCGGAGTCAGAATAAAGAATCTCCATTGAGAGTTAGTAGGAGTGGCCTGGCCGGTTTGGTTTGGCTCAGTGGTTAGTGTTGGCCCCCAAACTGAATAACCACAGATTCAATTCCCAGTCAAGGGCATGTACCTTGGTGGCAGGTTTGATCCCCAGCCCTGGTCAGGGTCATGCAGGAGGCAATCAATCGATGTGTCTCTCACACCAATGTTTTTCTCTCTCTTTCTCTCTCTCTCTCTCTCTCTCTCCCCCTTCCTCCCTCCTACTCTATCTAAAAATCAATGGAAAAAATATTGTCAGGTAAGGATTAATAAAAAAAGGGAGCCCTGGCCAGTTTGACTCAGCAGTTAAGAGTGTCGGCCCTTGGACCAAAGAGTTGTGGGTTTGATTCTGGTCAAGGGCACCTTGGTTGCGGCTCGGTCCCTGGTCCTGGTCGGGGTCATGCAGCAGGCAACCAGTCGATGTGTCTCTCTCATGTTGATGTTTCTCTCTCTCTCCCTCTCCCTCCCTCATTCCCTCCCACTTTATCTGAAGATAAATGGGAAAATATCCTCAGGTGAGGATTTAAAAAATAGAATTAAAAATTTCAAAAAAACAGAGAGCTGAAAGATTGTAAATATGAGAATGATCCCTTGGGGTTTTGCCACATGGCTACAACTGTAGACCATAGGGACAGAAAGATTAAAGAATTAGTAATAAAATAATTGTAACAGACATAAGTCTAAACTGGATAGGGAAGGACATAGATGTAGCCAGGAGGAAGCTGAAAGACAAAGGAAGCAAAAACCACTGGTAAGGACAAAATATACAGACGGGCAAAAAAGGGCTGTGCTTGGAGCAAGGACTCTTACATGTGCTCACAGATTTATGAGTAAAATTTAGGGGCATGAACTTTAGGATAGAATTTGCATATTAGCCCAGCCGGTGTGGGTCAGTGGTTGAGCACTGACCTATGCACCAACGTTCAATTCCTGGTCAGGACACATGCCCTGGTTGTGGGCCTGATCCCCAGTGAGGGGCATGCAGGAGGTGGCCAATCGATGTTCTCTCTCTCCCTCTCTAAAAATCAATACAGAAAAAAAAATTAAAAAACAAAAAATTTGCATATTTATCTTCACTAAACTCTAATTAAAATTTAGCAATTCTTTCGATTATGAATGTAGTAAGCAAGAAATCACAAAAGCAGTAACAGTTCCTGTCGCCAACAGAAATCACCAATATCTTCATATCACATTACTATTGCAGTTATCTTGAAATACTATTTATCTCACCACTTCAAAATGATGATAGTTATTAGACTGATAGCTCCTGCTATTTAACACACTGAATAAAAGGCACACGTGCCTGGCTGGTGTGGCTCAGCAGTTAAGCACTGACCCATGCAGCAAGAGGTCGTCAGTTTGATTCCTAGTCAGGGGACATGCCCAGGTACTGGGCCTGATCCCCAGTGGGGGGCATGCAGGAGGTGGCCAGTTGATATTCTCTCTCATCAATGTTTCTGTCTCTCTCTCCCTTTCCCTTCCTCTCTCTCTCTAAAATCAATAAAGAAAAAATTTACAAAAAAAAGGCACACGTTAGCCCTGGCCGGTTTGGCTCAGTGGTAGAGCATTGGCCTATGGACCAATGAGTAGCGGGTTTGATTCCAGCCAAGGGCACGTACCTCTTCCAACTCTCAAAACTACATCTCTGCCTCCTACTTTCCCCTTCAAAAGTATTCTCCTTTCCAGCTCCTATTTCAAAGTAAATAGGACCTGACCTTTTGACAAATCTGTAATTCCTACCTTCCTAACCAAAGGTATAAATAACTATAATCAAACAGATTGCTTTCCTTGTCATATCTATTCATAACCAACTACGAAGAAGAATTAGGAATATATTTATGGTGGGGAAGTGAGAAGAAAGTAATTTGGGTACATAACATCGCTAGGATAGTGTGATCCTTATGAAACCAATTCAGTTTTAAACAGCATTTTAAAAAATAAAATAGAATGGAAAACATTAGAATACAACACACATAGTTAAGTACTGTTCTAAGAATCTTTTCTTCCTGTTACACACACACACACACACACAAACACACACACTCTGAGTCTAATGTAAACATACTGCAGGTCATGGTTCAAAAAGTTTGAAAGCCATGGTTCCAGAGGAAGAACAATTCTCTCTGACGAGAACCCCATGTGAAAATAAAAAGCCCCAAAGATGACTAAGAGATATGGATCTACAGCTTTCCCTGGGGTCTACTACACTGCTAATGCCCTGCAATCAGCCTGGGGTTTAGGTCCCAATTCTGCCACCGACAAGACATGTATAAGAAAGTCACTGCACTACCAAGCCTCCCTTGTCTGTAAAATAGGGCTAAAATACCTCCATCTTTATTACTTCACAAGATAATTATGAGGATCAAAAATAATGATATAAAACACTGTACTGTTATTGTCATTTTATTTTAAACTACACAGCCAGCCCTGGCCGGTTTGGCTCAGTGGTTAGAGCGTCGGCCTGCGGTCCGGAGAGACCTGGGTTTGTTTCCTGCTAAGGGCACGTACCTCGGTTGCAGTTTGTCCCCATCCCTGGTTGGTCGTGCGGGTGGCAGCCACTCGATGTGTCCCTTTCATATCGATGTTTCTCTCTCTCTCTTCCTCTCTCTCCCTCCCACTCTATCTGAACAAAAAGTGGAAAAATGTCCTCAGATGAGGATTAAAAAAAAAAAAAACTACACAGCCAGAGTGATGAAAACCAAACTATACTATGATTACCAAAAATATGGCCAAATCATTGTTACCCAGTTGTGTGGTTAGACAAGCCAAATATTAGAAGTTGTGGGGAAATTTTAGGAAATTATTTCTTTAGAAAAAGGTAACTAGGAAAAGAGGACAAATAATGAAACCATCCATGTATACATACATGTCTCAAGTAACATACATGAGAAAGTGGGTATAAAGAGGACACAAAACAAAAAATAAAAATTAAAAACAAAAAATCACTGGTTTTGATGGGTAAGACTTTCTTGGAGGTAAAATGAATTGAGATGAAGAAAGGAACAGTGACGCATGTTTTCTCCTCATGTTCTAAACTGCCTCCCAAGACCAAAAGATACACCAATTGTTATCCTGCAAGCCTACTTCAGTATCACCTCCTCCAGAAAACCTACTGCACACACCAGCCCCTATCTCTACATGTCTCTAGCATTCAGTATTTATACTTCTCATCTGACACAACTGATATTACCAGGCGGTGTAAAACATGCTCACCATAAACTCAGGAAAGGCAGCCTACTGAAAAGCAAGATGTATACGTTTTATTTTTCTGCCTTTAAGTATAGGACTAAAAAGACCTATTAGTTTAAAACTACGCACCCATCCTGATGACAGGGGATCCACTGGCCTCAGCTCTATCTTTCATAGCCTCTGGCAAATAGGTAATTTATTATCTTCATGGGCGATTTAACTACGGGTCACTTTTAGTAGATATAAATTGTGTAAGGATCCAAACTTGCATCGCTGAACAGAATTGCAATATCCTAAATAGTATGATTCATATCAGAGGTATAACCTACAGGTTTAATATACTTTCTTTTTCTGTCACTACAAAATTATTATTTATAAGTGAATTAAAATGATCTCTTCAGCCCTGGCCTGTGTGAGTTCGTCATTATGGAGTGTTGGCCCAAGCACCAAAGAGTCACAGGTTTGATTCCCGGTCAAGGGCATGTACCTGGGTTGTAGGAGTGCATGTGGGAGGCAGCCAATTGATGTGTCTCTCTCCCATCGATGTTTCTCTCTCTCTCTCTCTCTCTCTCTCTCTCTCTCTCTCTCTTTCCCCCCTTCCTCACTTCCACTCTATATAAAAAAATTTTTTAAATAAATGCAAAAATATCCTCAGGTGAGACTTAACAATAACAAAAATAGTATCTTCCTATTCTCTCTTAGATTATAATTTCCTGAGGGTGGGAATAGTACATTATTTTAACTTCCAACATGTTTTATGACTCAATAAATATCCTGGTATATAAAAAACAAACTCAAAGACTAGAATGGGGTGGGTGAGAGGAAAAGGACCTTTACCTCCATCGAATCTACATGTTGCCTACCTCTTGCAGTGTCAACAAAGTATTAAGAATTGCTGGTAGTGTAGTCTGGACAACTCCAAATCTATCTTCTGTAAATGATGCTGCTACCAAGTGAGACAGACCTCAAGGGGAAAAGAAAAAAATTAAAAGTGAATTAAAATTAGGCAAATCTATTTGACAAATGATTGACATTCTGAATATATAAAAAATTCTAAACAAAAGAGAAGAGGTAATAAACAAAAAAATGGGCAAAAGGTAAGAATAGGCACTGGAATGGTACTCAGTCAGCTGCAGTAGTCATGAGTAAGATGGTAGTCTGTTTTTTCTTATCCTCACCCAAGGACATTTTTCCATTTCTTGTTCAGATAGAGTGGGAGGGAGAAAGAAGAGAGAGAGAGAGAGAGAGAGAAACATCGACATGAAAGGGACACATCAAGTGGTTGCCACCCGCATGACCAACCAGGGCTGGGAACAAACCGCAACCGAGGTATGTGCCCCTAGCAGGAACCGAACCCGGGTCTCTCCGGACCGCAGGCCGACGCTCTAACCGCTGAGCCAAACCGGCAAGGGCGATGGTAGTCTGTTTTATGTTCCAGTAAGAAAATGTTTTTTTAAGTGATACTGTATCTGGTAGTGATAAGTGCTAGGAAGATAAACAAAGCATAATAAGGGAATAGAGTGAAGGTTGTTAGGGTACTTTTCATTAGAAGTCAGGAAAGGCCTCTCTGAAGAAGTATTATTAATTTAAGCTTTGAAAAGGCAGTATCTATAATATAAATATGTAAGTTCTTTAACAACTAAGTTTTCATATTTAACCAAGTTAAATATGTTAAAACATATTCAATTATGTAAAATAACTTATGTCAACATAAACTGATAGTTAAAAACAATTTATTAATTGTAGTTTTTTTGAAGGAGAGAAAGATATGCAAAAATCCTAGGCTCAGTTTCTCTTCTTATATACAAGGAAAATTTCTGCCCAGATTAAAGTACACCTAAATATATTTAAGAAAAATGATCTATATAAAACAAAGATATAAAAATGTATCCTGCCCTGGCCAGTTTGGCTCAGCGGTTAGAGCATCGGTCTGCGGTCCGGAGAGACCCGGGTTCGGTTCCCCCTAAGGGCATCTATCTCGGTTGCAGTTTGTCCCCGGCCCTGGTTGGTTGTGCGGGTGGCAACCACTCGATGTATCCCTTTCACATCGATGTTTCTCTCTCTCTCTCTGTTCCTCTCTCTCCCTCCCATTCTACCTGAATAAAAAATGGGAAAATGTCCTCAGGTGAGGATAAAAAAAAAAAAAAAAAAAAAAAAATGTATCCTAAAATTCAAAGATTGAGATCAAAGTCCAGAACTGACCTTTCATAGAATACATGTCAATATTTAACTGATAACTAAAATCACAGTTGCAGTTTACTAAAATTGCTTACCTTCCAAAGCCCAAATATGCATTTGGGCATCTGAAAACACAGCCTGAATGGAGGCTTCTGGGTGCTACAAATACAACAAAAACATTTAAGTAAGTTCCCTTGGGCAAAAAAATATTATTTCATCTAATCAACTATGTAAACTATAATAGATAATTCACAGCTGCCTCTCAAGAATTAAAATCTGGCCCTGGCCAGTTTGGCTCAGAGGTTAGAGCATGGGTCCGTGGACCAGAGAGGCCTGGGTTTGGTTCCTGCTAAGGGCATGTACCTCGGTTGCAGTTTGTTCCCGGCCTCGGCTGGGGTCATGGGGGTGGCAACCAGTTGATGTGTCTCTCTCACATCGATGTTTCTCTCTCTCTCTTCCTCCTTCTCTCCCTCCCACTCTATCTGAAGATAAATGCAAAAAAAAAAAAAGTCCTCTGGCAAGGATTAAAAAAAGAGAGAGAATTAAAATCTGAAATTCTTTTTATTTTTTTATCCTCACCCGAGGACATTTTTTGGATATTTTGTTCAGATAGAGTGGAAGGGAGGGAGGGAGGGAGGGAGAGAGAGAGAGAGAGAGAGAGAGAGAGAGAGAAAAACATCGATGTGAAAGGGACACATCGAGTAGTTGCCACCCACACAACCCAACCAGGGCCGGGGACAAACTGTAACTGAGGTACATGCCCTTAACGGGAACCGAACCCGGGTCTCTCGGGACCACAGGCCAATGCTCTAACCACTGAGCCAAACCGGCCAGGGCAAAATCTGAAATTCTTATACAGTAAGATCTAACTACTATAAAGCATTGTGCCCCCAACTTACTATGTGACCCTTGCCAAGTCTCTAAATCACCATGTGCCTCAGTTTCTCATTTGAAATAAGTCACACATCCTGGCTGTGGACCAAAGAGTCTCGGGTTCGATTCTGGTCAAGGGTATGTACCTTGGTTGCGGTTCAATCCCCTGCCTCGTCAGGGTTATGCAGGAGGCAACTAACCGATGTGTGTCTCTGTCACATCAATGTTTCTGTCTCTTTCTCTCTTCTTCCTTCCCTCCCTTCCACCCTATCTGAAAATCATTGAGAAAATATCCTCAGGTGAGGATTAAAAACAAATAAACAAACAAAAAAGAATTGTCATGCCCTGCCAGTGTGGCTCACTGGATTTAGTGTCGTCCCATGGACTGAAAGGTCCTAGTTTGATTCCTGGTCAGAGCACATGCCCAGGTTTTGGGCACCATCTCCAGTAGGGGGAGTGTAGGAGGCACCCAATTGATGTTGCTCTCTCACATTGATGTTTTTACTTCTCTCTCCCTAAAAAAATAAAATAAAAATCGATGAGACACACACTCAACCCACCTCAGAGGATTAATATAGAGCTCACTTAAGAGAACGGTTACAAAAGCATTTTTTAAAATATGTTTTTACTTATTTTTAGAGAGGAAGGGAGAGGGAAAGAGAAACAGTGATGACATCGATGAGAGAGAAGCATGGATTGGGTGCCTCCTGCATGCCCCCTACTGGGAATCAAGCCCAAAACCCGGGCATGTGCCCTGCCCAGGAATTGAACCAGTGACCTCTTGGTGTATGGGACAACGCTCAATCCACTTAGCCAAACTGGCTGGACTAAAAGCTTTCTTTAAAACAAAAAAAAACTACCTAAATACATATTACGTCTCTTGAATTATCTTCACTCAACCCCAATCCAAAGAAACTTTAATATATCAAAACCAAATAATATGGAGCAACAACAGGCCCATTTAAACAAATGCTGCCTTTGGAAATGTACCCTATTATGTACAACAGCATGTTAGATTTCTCAACATCAAAGAGCAATGTCTATAACTCCTTACCATACAATAGATCCACTTGCAAAATTAGAATCAAAGTAGCTGTTCACTTCCAAGGAAAAAGGAGATCTTATTCAGTGTCTGCTCTGCCACTTACTGGCTATGTGCTGTTAGGCTAGCTACCTGACCCCTGAGCCTCAAATTTCCTTATCTATAAAAGACAACTCACAGGAATGCTGTTAGAATTAAATGAGGGAACTTAAGTGAAAAAAGCATGGGGTACATGACACAAGAGTGAGTTAGTTCTCTCCATCCTCTGAAACAAAGCACTAAAGTAAAACTTCAGACAGCCCCTCTTCCTCTTGATGGAAGACATCTCCTGAGGGGTTGCAAATTTTCCCAAAGTTCTAATGGATAGCCTAAGGTTATTTTTGATAAAAGCAATTGTGTGTGTGTGGGGGGGGGGGGGAGGGGTCTTCCCTGCTGCCAAAGTGAAAAAAGTTTCAAGAACCTGAAGTGATTCTTTGTTATGGTATCTATATTCTATCAGTTACTCAGATCTCCCTCCCCACCAGAGTATGACTCCCAAAGAACAAAAATAAGTCTGTCAATGCAAACTTCCACTTCAAGGCATAATTGAGTGCAGTATGAGCTAATACTACAATATCTTCAGAAAGAGAGAAGCTAGATTAAAAAAAACTAAAACAAAAAAAATTCTTTCCCCTACATATGGACAAAGGTTTTGCTCATCAAAGGATTAGTTAACACACAACAGCTGTAGCCAGTGAAAACAGGAATGAATTTTTAGCTTCTGCAACTAAGATTTACTCTCCTATGGCAGCTAGAGCAAGCAGCTGAGACAAGTTGGAAAGTCCTTTAGTTTGTAGCCTGAATTACAACTTTTTATCCAAAACAAGCTTAACATCCTCAATCTAACCCAGTCATCTCTCTTCTGAAGAGCAAACTGGCCACCAAGGTGTCAGCAGGACAATAAGCCATAAAGGATCACCACGGACTTGCTCATTTTTGCAGGATGGGGTTGTAGATCAGCACAAAGCTGTCTACAGCCAAGAGACTCAAGAAGCAACTATAGTCAAGCCGCAGGAAGCCACTGAGGTGAGATGTGAGGTAAGAATGGGCAGCTATTCTTAAAATGGAGGTTTAGTAAAGCAATAATACAAAGCTGTTTGTCTTGCTAGGCTCAAGCTAAATATTTGTAAGTCAAATCCTATCTGCTACTTCATTTCTTATTTCATTTCCTCTCCCCCCATTCCCAATGCTATAACTACATATTCTTACCTTACTGAAAAAATACATTATCAGCACCCGTTTTGACAAGAAATGCTTAATCTGAATTGAAATTAAAAAAAAAAAGAATTAATACATTTACAGTTTTCAATTCTATTCAAATACAATTATCACATTTTCAGTTTCTTCCTAACATTAACACCTCCCATCTTACAGAGAAAGAACAGTATTTACAATAAACCAATTAAAGAAATACATTTGTACTATAAATTGGATAATCGAGATGGGCCATCTAACCTAAAATGCATTCCCATGTATACATGTCTAATCCCCAAATTACAGATTTATCATAATAAAAAAATTCTAAGTGGTTCTGATATTTTCTAAGACCATATTCTTTTTAAATTCTCCACAGCTGTCTTGCCCTTTAACCTCTTAACACCAATAAAGAGCATGCTGCCCCACCCCCATCTTCAAATTTTAAGATGGGGAGTGGCTTTCTACTAGTTGACATTTAGAGAAAATAATTTTAGTATTATAAACTGACAGTATTTATGGCATATAGAGCCATATGGAATACTGAAGTCTGTAAAACGCTTCAGTTCTTCCCTCTATTAATTGATCCTTCTATCAGCAAACGTTTTATTCCTCCCATCTTAAAAAGTAAAACCCTTCCTTGACCCCCTCAACTCCTCCCAGCATTTACCCCATTTTTCTGCTCCCCTTATAGCAAATCTCCTGGAAAGATCTGGCTTTTCTTGTGGTCTCCAATTCCTCTCTCAATCTCTCCTGATCCCATGCCAATCAGGCATTCATCTCAACGTGTCCATCCTGACAAGGACTCTATAACCTCCACATTGCAACAGTTCAGTTAGTTTAAAACTCATGCTACTTATTAGTAGCAGTATCTGACACTCATTTCACCTTGAAACGCCTTTTTCTGGGTTCTCTTCTAATCTCAATGGCCACTTGGTCTCTTTGCTATCCCTCATCCCAGACCTTCAGTCATGGAGGGTCCCTACTACCCCTCTGACCTAATCACCCACCTACCTGCCACTTTCCCCTCCCTCAGTCTGCTCCCTCAGCCACACTATGTTCCTCAAACAAACCAAGCACAGCTCAAAACCACATTAACAACTGGAGATTTCCCAAGGGAGAACTTAATACATGAAGCATAAACTTATCTTTAATGACTCTCATTTGAGATCCTTGATGCTCTCAATGTTACATGCAAATATAAATCCTATACCGTATCATCATACCTGCTCATGTTTATTCTGAATCCATGAGTAAATCACACTGGGCTGTCTCATGGTCTTACCCTCAGCACTAACTATAGATGGAAGATTAGAAAATTCATTCATTTGCTGATCTATTAAAAAAACAAACAAAAAAACCAAGAAGGTGAAAACTTAGGCTATCTTACTCTCTACAACTCTGACATTTCAAATTTTAGAAAATAAATAGTCCTCACCAGAAGCAGAAGTCCATAATCTTGGCCCTCTTTTTATTAGCTGAGAACTTTGAGGTGATCTATAGCAGGTGTTTGCATCAAAAATTCCAGCCATCCGATTCATTACACTAGAGCCAAACGGGGATCCAAGAGGACTTGCAACATCAGGTGTAGATAATTTTGAGGAAAACAGTGATGTCTTAACTAATGGTGGCACTGAAGACCGAGGCATCTGGCTAGATTTTGGGGTCTGAAAAGTAGTTTCTTCTGCAAAAGAACAGATCCAGTGCTGAAGGGGCAACCTGATCCAAACAGACCAGCATGAGGATTCTCAAATATCAAACATCTCAATTTTTTGTATAATACATTACTCAAGGCAAAATAGGTTGTTTCTATTTAGGTTTACATTCTCAAGATCCTGTTTTACTACTGCAACTCAATGACCACTCAAGAAGCTTTAAATATCTTTTTTTGTCAGATTGGTACAGCCTTTCTTGTTTTTTCCCCTCCCGAATATCCTCATCTTCAAGGTCAGTTTCTCTAATCTGGGTTTTGTTTGTTTTTTTGTTAATCCTCACCTGAAGATATTTTTCCATTGATTTTTTGGACAGAGTGAAAGAGAGGGAAGGGGAGGGGTGGGGAGAGAGAGGAAGGGAGAGGTCGAAGGGGAGAGAGAGGGAGAAAAACATCACTGTGAGTGAGACACATTGATTGGCTGCCTCCCACTCAACACAGACTGGGGCTGGAGACCAAGCCTGCAACCCAGGTATGAGCCCTTGACTGGGAATGAAACCCACGACCCTTTGGTCCACAGGCCAACACTCTTAACTGCTGAGCCAAATCAGCTAGAGCTCTCTAAGCTGTTTTGAATAAACTTCTCAATTTGTGTTTTATTTTTATATGGCAAAAACTTTAATTATTGCATTAGAAACTTTCCAGTCTTACTGCATGCTCTTACTACAATTATTACTTGGTTAAACATAACCAAATTTATATTATGAAAATGTACAGATAAAAGTGCTAACCTTATCCCATTTTCCCCAGAGTTCTTTCAAATTAACAGAAGTCACACCAAAGAACAATTTGCCCAGGATATATACGCATCTAACTCTACAAATCTGATCTGCAAATAGCTTCTTCACAAATTATAACTCTACCAATTTAGTAATAGAGTCTGTTGTACAAAAACAAAGGAACATTTTCCCTGCCACTCCAGTCAGTACAAGGCACAAAGACAAATTATACACTAGTGTTCTATCTTCTTAATAAAACCACAGTAAGACATTAAATATTTCAAGTACTAAATTTTACACTGCATGACTTTTTAAGAGTTGGTGGCAATAAGAAATCTTTGAATAATCAATTTAAAAATTAAGACCGGGGTTAAAGTTTTGCAATAGCTCCTCAAAATTAAGAGGCAAATTTTGTCTATGCAATGGGATATGACAATAATTGATAACAATAAAAAACCCACTTAGACCCATGATCCCTCCTACCCAACATTACAATGATCTTTGTAACAAGCTAATTTGGTGTAACTAGCCTGTTCAAAATCCTGTACTGGTTCTATATTCCCTATGGGATAAAACCTAAACTCTTTTTTATAACATACAAGACCTCCTTTTATTATCAAAGATCATCTTACCCATGCAGGCTCCTTTTTTGACAGATTTCTTTTTAGCAGTTACATTTTCTTAGTATTTGTGCGCCTCCCACTAAAACGTCAGTTCCAAGAGTGTTTTGTCATCTATGATTCTCTCGTTTCTAGAACATTACTTGGTATGTGGTAGGCATTCAATAAATATTTGTTCAATACATAAATGCTAATCTGAAAGTTGATAACATCTGAAACACCCTAGAGCCTTTTAAAATCCACATAGGAATTTTTTTAAAATAGGTTTTTATTGATTTTTAGGGAGAGAGAAACAGTAACATCAATGAGAGACACATCAATTGGCTGCCTCCTGCACACTCCCAATGGGACTTGAGCCCACAACCCAGACATGTGACCTGACTGGGAACGGATCCGGCAACCTCTTGGTCTGTGGGTCAATGCTCAACCACTGAGCCACACCGGCTGGGTCACATAGAAATTTTTTAAATATCAAGATTAGTTGCCAATGTTTCAAAAGTGAAATATTTCACATAACATTTAGATTTCAGGCTTTTCTTAAAAAAAAAAAGACCATGAGTTCAGATACTGGATCCATATTCTCACCTGGGAATAGTGGACTAAAAGCTTCAGTTGAAGTCTGTACTCTCAAGTTTACCACTGTCCTCACCTAGCCAGTTTTGCCACTTTTACTAAAGGCCTAGGCTCCAAAAGACTTCTGAACATTAAGTGCTCATCAGTCTTACATCCCTAGGCATTTTCTATTTAAGGGATTTGGTGAAAGAGCTTAAGTTCCTCCACCTATACTTCTTCCTGTCAATTTTCATCTTTCACACTGAAGGAGTACTGACATTATATTATGCTATCCTATAATAATGAATGTATTTAAAACAATAAGATAGAATCTTATGTATAAAAATGTAACATAAAACAATGAAAACCCCCAGTGCCAAATCACTCAATCATTTTTAGCTGCTCTTTGGACATTCTCCAGCAATGTTTTGTCTCTGGAAAATTGCACTCAGAACAGCATCCAATATTATTTATAAAGATTGAGCTGGCTTTGTATGAGGATGAGCTGAAAGTCTTCTATTTGATGACCAACATATGTTAGCCGCTTTAACACCACCATCACACTGGACTTAATTTTTTTCAATCTACGATAACACCAAGTTCTTCTTGGTTCAGTACAATATCCCATATACTGGATCAATTTTCCCGAAAAATAGATATCTCACATTCATGCACATATCTTTAGATTAACTACTATCATCTTTCTTAGGAAATAAAATGCAAATGTTTTCCCCTCTTAGTAGTACAAGGATTACCTGGAGAATTCAATTTCTTAGGCTCCACTGTGTATGATGAAGACATTACTCTTCCATTCGTAGCAGCAGCTTCTTGGTAGAGAACCAGTTTCTGAGTCATATCATTTAAAAGATTCAAACACTCCCTTGAAATGGCTGTCCAATTATGGGGATGTCCGCCTAGGAGATCGAAATACCAACTTTTAAAATGTAGATAATTGTACAGTCCCTCAAATGAGGAGAAAAATCAATTAGAAATGCTACATTACACTTTGCATTGAGCCCAGCTTTCTCAATTAAGCTACTATTTATACACATGCCATCTAATGCACAGCAGGAGTTCAATAAATATCTGGATGCAATAATTTTCCCAAAAGTCTACAAGCAGCTCTGGCCAGTTTGGTCAGCAGTTAGAGCATCATCCCACGGACCAATGAGTCCAGGGTTCGATTCTGGTCAAGGGCACATACATCGGTTGCGGTTTGTCCCCGGCCCAGGTCGGGTTGTGCAGGAGGCCACCAGTTGATGTGTCTCTCTCACGTCAATGTTTCTCTCTTTCTCTCTCTCCCTCCCACTCTATCTGAAGATATTTGAAAAAATATCCTCGGGTAAGAATTAATAAATAAAAATAAAAAACCAAAAGTCACCCTGGCCAGTTTGGCTCAGCAGTTAGAGTGCTGGCCTGTGGATCAGTGAGTCCCAGGTTCGGTTCCCGCTAAGGACAAGTATCTCAGTTGCAGTTTGTCCCTGGCCCCGGTTGGGGTCATGTGGGTGGCAACCACTTGGTGTATCTCTCTCACATTGATGATTCTCTCTCTCTCTTCCTCCTGCTCTATCTGAAGATAAATGCAAAAATGTCCTTGGGTGAGGATAAAAAAAAAATAGTTAAAAAAAAAAAGTCTACAACAAAAAGTTGCTGTTTTACCATTTAAAAAAAAAACCTCATACTGATCACTAAAATAAAGCCAAACACTAGAGTATGGTTTGAATACAAATGCCCAGGATTACTTTACTAGCAGTACTGAACAGACTCAAGACTAAAACAACAAACACTAACATGTTTAATGAGATACATACCATGGCCCCTGATGACCTGTAAATTGTTGTGCCTGACCCACTGTGTTTCCTTATACTTTCATTTGTATAACTGTCCCTATTTGCTATTATATTCATAGGAGTTACAAATTATTTGATAATAATCATACTTTATAGACGATGAGTTTGAATACCTGATTATTTAACTTAAACTACTATGACCCACACTCTTATTCTCTTCTCATTATCTTTTGATTTTCTAAGACTTTTATCTCCTAGGGCTGTCAAGTAAAATCAACTGTGCTTCATTATGTGTTGAGCATAGCAGGAATCCACTGAAAATTGGTTTCCCCATCCTGGGTGCCAAATAACCATTTTTCTTTATTTAGATCCTTCCTTAAACATTTCCCCTTTACAACTCAAGAGGAACACCACTTCACTTACAAATAAAATACTCCATCAAGCCCTAGCCAGTTTGGCTCAGCGGTTAGAGCGCTGGCCTGCAGTCTGGAGAGACATGGGTTTGGTTCCTGCTAAGGGCACGTACCTCGGTTGCAGTTTGTCCCCGGCCCTGGTTGGGTTGTACGGGTGGCAACCACTCGATGTGTCCCTTTCACGTCAATGTTTCTCTCTCTCTCTCTCTCCCACTCTATCTGAACAAAATATCAAAAAACGTCCTCAGGTGAGGATTAAAAAAAAAAAAAATACTCCATCAACAGGCCCCAGAATGTTTTGTACAGCTGTAACTCAGGACCATTAGGGAACTACGTAATGGTCCAGTTGAATTTTAGTATGTCCTAGAATGAAAGTCCTCTGGCGGGGAAAATGCCACTGTTAGTTTAATTGAGTATCTGGTGAAAATATTTAATGCATAGGAAATTCCTGAGTGAACCTAAGTCTGATAGAAAAGTATTGCTACAGTTATACACCCCAACATCAACTCTGGAATTTTCATGTTACTAAAAGGAAAAAGTGGCTTCAATCATTTATATTTTTATATAACTCAATGTTACTTCCATGTAACATTTATCTATACAGAAGATTTATTTCACAATCTGGGAATTGGCAAGCTTGGCAAAATAATGGAGGGCTGATTAAAGAGAAGATAAAAGCTACCCGGTTCTCTGTTCCCCAATGGTGGCTGGGGCTGGAATGTTTCCCTTTTCCCTAGAAATAAGGCAGAGCACTGGTACAATTAGTCCTGAAGAGGTTGACAAGTAAGTGTCATCAACAGCATCTTTGGGTCACCATCAAATCTTCTCCTTTCTATTTTTTTTCTTTTAAAGAATAGTTTATTGATTTTCAGAGAGAGAAGGGAGAAGAGAGAAATATTGAGGTGGAAGCAAAACATCAATCAGCTGCCTCTGCTATGCCCCCTACTGGGGATCAAGCCCAAAACCCAGGCATGTGCCCTGACCAGAAATAGAACCAGCAACCTTGTTAACCTAAGTCATAGTTTCTTCAAGTTAAGGGAATGAGGGGGCTGAAGGAAACAATATAAAAGTTTAAAAATACCTTTCCTGATGACATTAAGTTCTAACCACAACACACTTTGTTGTAAGATTTCAATCATAACTTCATTTAATGGGCTCACCCATGTGTGACATTAAATATACCTATCTCACCAAAAACTTTAAATGGAATACTTTCTGCACACACATGTCTAGTCAGATCTATTATTTTTAGCATTACCTGGCTGGCTAAGACTAAAAACTTCTTGTCTTCGTGAAGGAGAATATTGAGAAAGCAACATTAGGTCCTGCAAGGCCAAATACTAAAAGGGGAAAAAAAATACACAGTTTAAATTTTTAATATTTATATAAAATCTTATTTATGAATTAGGCGCAGTGAGATACATCTAAGGAGAAATTAGCTGAAATATTACATAAAGAAAATAATATTTAACCTTCCTTTTAGATTTCCAGAACTTTCCTGCCTCTACCCTCTGTAGGCTACCCCTCCCTTTGTAGAGGTTCCAGCTACAAAGAATATAGAACTCTGTGTTCTTCCCCATGTCTATGTTGAGAAATTTAAACATCACTTCCTCCTGGAACTTTCCCTAGTCTCCCCAACACTAACATACACTCATACAGTCCTCAACTGTGTCACTTAACATAATTTATTGTAACTGCATGTTTACTTGTCTCATCTGGTTCTACCACCAATGTGTGAGGTAGGAACAAAGTCTTGCTTGCACCCACATTCAAAGTCAGTGTCTAGCACACTGCAGACATGCAATGCCTGTGGTACTTTTTTACCAAAAATCTTCATTTTGTTCCCTGGCAAACTGCTTCACTCACCATTCAAGAAACCATCTCTTCTGTGAAGCTTTCTTACATTGGTCCCAAGCAGAGTAAGTTGTTCCCACTATACTTACCCTAGTCAATTTTCATCATTTTGTGCATCTGCCTTTCCCATTAGGCTGTGCTATTATTTTATTCATCATTATACCCTAAGTAACTAGAAGTGACTGGCACCTGCCCAGTAAATAAACATCAGTTAAATGAATGACAGGTATTTTTGTTTATCTATTAAATTAGTCATAATCAATACTGAAAAGTAACCAGAGCGTCCTCAATGGTTAATTTTCTTATTGGTTTATAACTTTTCCAGAATGCAATAAAATCTATGGATTCTAACTATTTCAATTCTTTTTTAATTATTATGACCTCTTAACAGGATCACATATATTGCAGATCTACTTTAAAATTTCAAAATATAGCCCAGTTGGTGTGGCTCAGTGGATTGAGCATTGTCCATGGTAGGTCCCGGTTCAATTCCTAGTCAAGGCACAAGCCTGGGTTGGGTTGCAGGCTCCATCCCCTGTGGGGGAGGTGCAGGAGGCAGCCAATGGATGTGTCTCTCTCACATCGATGTTTCTTTCTCTCCCTTCCTCTTTTTAAAAAATAAAAACATTTTTAAAACAATAAAATTTCAAAGTATAATTTAAATCAAATTTATTTTCACTTAGTTTGATTGGTAAGTATATTGCAACTTCTTAAACTTTTGATTACAATTTGTTTTGAGAGCATTATCATTATTCGTATCTTAAGAGAGTTCACTGAATGTAAACACACTACCAAGTAACTACCCTTAATCATAATGGCCAAAAATACTACATGAGTGAAAATACATACTGATCTAAATGATTTTAAAAAATCAACAGTGTGCCCTGGCCAGTTTGGCTCAGCGGTTAGAGCGGCAGCCTGCAGTCTAGAGAGACCCGGGTTCGGTTCCCACTAAGGGCGCGTACATTGTTTGCAGCTTTTCCCTGGCCCTGGTTGGTCGTGCGAGTGGCAGCCACTCGATGTGTCCCTTTCATGTCGATGTTTTTCTCTCTCTCTCTCTCTCTTCTTCTCACTCAACCTGAACAAAAAATGAAAAATGTCCTCGGGTAAGGATGAAAAAAAAAGGGAATAAAAAATCAACAGTGATTTGTTTTGCTACCATGAGGAGTTTGTGAAAAGCTAATGCAATCATTGTATTTCATGCTTGGAAATATTTTTATATCTATTCTGAATACAGAATTAGCTTACCTTGTATACATAAACTGTAATATACACTTTTTCATTTGAGTCACTTGGAAAGAAAATTGAAAAAGTAAACAGCATTCAATGTAGCATGTAAGTGATTTTTATATAACAGTATTAAAATATTCTAGGCCTTCAAAAAATATATCTAAGTACCTAAATATACTAAAGATTAAGTCCTTCCAAAAGATAAGTTAGAGATGACTGTATAAAGATACAAAATACACAGTTCTGGTACCTTTATGATGAGGGGTGGATTGCTGTTTAAAACTTTCGGGAGGCATTCATCTGACTCTTCTGTAAATGGTGGCTGAACAGGGAACAGATGAGCCTATCAAACATAATCAAAAGGACTATAAAAATGAGTATTTTTATAACTTTATTACATTCAGGTAGCACTAATTGAAATTCATTATAAAACGAGATAATACAACCAAATTAACATTTTTAGTGTTCCTTGCAAAAACAGACTGCATTAAAGTTACTAACACAAACATACCACTTTCTAAAATGTTTTATGAGATCTCTGGCTTCCAATAATGGAAACAAATTTTAGAAACAAAGGTTCTTTGAAGCCACTAAAGAATATAAACCTACAGAGATGGTTAAATGAAACAGAAACACTCATTTTCCAAGTTAAATACTTGGATGATAAAGACAATTTAAATGCCATTCATTTAAAAACATTTCTTGCCTAGCCAGTATAGCACAGTGGTTGAGCATCAACCCAAGCACCAAAAGGTTGCTGGTTCAATTCACAGCCAGGGCACATGCCCAGGTTGTGGGCCCAATCTCCAGTGGGGGACATGCAGGAGGCGGCCAATCGATATTCTCTCTCATCAATGTTTCTATCTCTCTTTCCCTCTCCCTTCCTCTTTCTCTAAGTCAATAAAAAGGAAAAAAAAAAAGGCCCTGGCCGGTTTGGCTCAGCGGTTGGAGTGTTGACCTGCGGACCAGAGAGTCTCAGGTTCGGCCCCCGCTAAGGGCACATACCAAAAAAAAAAAGAAAAAATTAAAAACATTTCTTCAGCCCGGGCTGGGTGGTTTGATTGGTTGAAACACTATCTCATACACCAAGAGGGGTACAATTCCCGGTCAGGGCACATATGGGATTCTACCGATAGATGTTTCCCTTTCTCTCTCCCTTCCTCTCTCTCTCTCTAAAAATCAATAAAAATATATCCTCAATTAAGAAAAACAACAACAACAACAAAATATATATATATATGTGTGTATATATATAAATGTTTCTTCAATATAAGTTTTTAAGGTTTAATTCAAAGAACATATTTTATTGTCTTATATTTAAATATTTTAATAGCATCTATATCAATAGCACCTAAAATATTTTAAAATTCAGGCCCTGGCTGGTTTTGCTCAGCAGATAGAGCGATGGCCTGCAGACCAGAAAGTCCCAGGTTCAGTTCCCATAACGGCACGTACCTCGGTTGCAGTTTATTCCTGGCCCCAGTTGGGGTCGTGTGGGTGGCAACCAGTCGATGTGTCTCTCTCACATCGATGTTTCTCTCTCTCTCTTCCCCCTCTCTCCCTCCAGCTCTATCTGAAGATAAATGCAAAAATGTCCTCAGGTGAGGATTAAATAAATAAATAAATAAAATATTTTAAGATTCAGGCCCATCTAATATGTACTCAACAGAGAAATTAACATTTTCAGAAAAGAATTAGATTGTAGATAAAGCATAGAAAATAGATACCACTGGAAGCCCATTCAGTTTAGTTTCCAACAATTAAGAGTACCAACACTGTTCCTCATTAAAAAATAAATTTAAAAAAGTTAATGATGGTTAATAAATGATACACCCTTAATGAAGTCTCAGAAAAGAGACCAAAACCCATTTTACCAAAATGGGTTTGGGCATACAACATGCTGATCAGTGCTCTACTAAAATAAATATGTGTACTCCAAAATACAAACGTAATAACAGAAAACTCAGTACCAACCTCTGTGGCATAGATTTTGAAGAGTATCCATGAGACGTACCAAGTCATCAGGAGAAAGACGCCACATAACCAAACATGGTAGAGTAATGAGAGATTCAAGAGGCCACTCACAGTATCAAGAGGCCTATGAAGTTGCCTATGAAAGCAGAAATTAGTATTTAATCCTATGGGAAAAAAACAATCTAAGCATTTAATAGACTTGGGGTTCAACACTGAGAAAAAATAATTCCTATTTGTAAATAATAATGGTAATAGACTCCTCTCATTTTGTACACTATAGGTTTCTTTCCTTAATTATTATAAGGGCGGCCTAATACTTTCTAACAAAGAACATAAAGGAAGCCTAAAGGGAAGAGTAGACCTAAACTGGCACTCAGTTTCTTGTGTTTAAAATCTTCACTGCCATTTACTATGGAGGAAGAATAAGCCAAGCCTATAAGCCAAACCCTAGCGGTTGGGTAAAATTTTATTATTGTTGCTTTGTAGTTTGATACTTAAAAATTATTCAACATAACTAGTACCTCTCCTGGACCACATTTCAGCTTTATTTGTATACCTTATAAACCATTTAACAGTAGTTAAAAGCAAACAGTACTAAAAATAACAATTTTTACTTTTAAAATAATCTAAGAATCACTTCTTGGCCTTTTGACTAAGATCAAGCATAGTACCTGTTCTTATCAATTTAATATCTGAACATCCTATACCAAAGGACAACATATTACATGGATTTCAGAAACAGGGAGGTAGATGGAATAGGAGCTTTCTACATCCAATCTGTGCACCAACCCAGTATTGCAGTACTTCCGGGACGGTGCACCCCTTCAGGGAATTAAGAGGAAAAAAAAAAAAGTAAACTCTATTAGAAAGCTAAATAAAATGAATGCTATCTTAACCAAAACCTTGAATAAATCAATTAGCAAAGTCATCACAACACTATAATCACACATGGAGCAACTGTAAAAATAGGATTTGAACCTTTTACTGTGCCATTTATAAGTATTGTGATAACATAAATCTCTTGACCCATGCCACTCCCAGTTTGCCATTTAAAGGAGGCATAATCTCTTTATTCTACCTCTTAGAGCTATTATGAGATTTAAAACACCTTATGTTAGGAGAGCTCGGCATAGTCCTTGATATTCACTGGTATGGTGGGCACAGTAAATGGAGTTATTTTCAGCTTTTAAGTAAACATTTACTGAGGACCTGGCATACTTTAGGGACAGAACACCAGGCACATGTAAACAAAACATTTTTTTAAGCGACAGAAGGAAAAAAGTATTATGTTAACTTTCTACTGAATATCATTATTATTTTTCTCTTTCCATTTAACCCAGTTTAAAATCTGGGCTAACGTAATAAATGACCTATGCATTTCGGTTCACATCTAGCAATTAAACAGAAGACAAACTAAACTTTACCCAGGAACTTTTAAAGTTAGGATTGAAAGCTACCCTGTAGAAACCATATCTCATAAATAACCATATATGCCAATATTCCTACTCCCAAAAACTGATACCAGTGAAGGCCATATATAACACAAAAAGTCTCACAGTAGAATAGTAGTAATTAAAAGAATAAACTCTAACAAAAAATTTTACATTTATCTGCAAAATAAAGACTAAAGCTTTATTTATGTGCAAAGTGCATGGGGAAAACAACTAGAAAATACACCTGATTGCCATTTATGACCTTTAACTGGTCACATGACCCTCCTCAATTTTGGTTTCCTAGTAGGCAAAATTAGAATAATGTCACAACATTATGGTTGTCTAGCACAACATAGCATAGAATAATTATTGAGGAAAAAAGCAAAAAAGAGGCATATCATACAACTCAAGAAGTCTACTTTCATATAATATAAAAGCTGTATCTAACAAGAAATTAATTGCTGCTTACTTCTGGGGACAGTAACTGAATGACTGGAGACAGGGGCAAAAGGAATCTTCTTTATCACATACCCTTTTGGAATTTTAGACTATGTCAACTATGTGTGTGCAAAAACAAATACAATTCTTAAAATTTTTTTTTTATCCTCACCCGAGAACAGTTTTCCATTTTTTGTTCAGATAGAGTGGGAGGGAGGGAGATGAAGAGAGAGAGAGAGAGGGGGGGGGGGGGGCGGAGGGGGACACATCGAGTGGCTGCCTCCCGCACGGCCCTGGCTGGGTCAGGGCCGGAGACAAACTGCACCGAGGTACATGCCCTTAGCAGGAACCGAACCCGGGCCTCTCTGGACCGCAGGCCAACACTCTAACTGCTGAGCCAAGCTGGCCAGGGCCAATTCTTAAAATTCTTAAAGGCTAAACCAATTAAAAACACGTAGAAAGAAGCAAACAACCAAAAAAGTTAAAATTAAGACTTTTCAGGGAGCACTTACTCATCTATCTGAAGATCCATAGCAGTGCTAATCCAAGCTTTGGGGATATAGCCTGAGAGGAAAAAATACAAAGCTATGAACATAAACTGTTATAAAAGCAGACCTTAATCATGCTTTGAAATATGAGGTTGATTAGATAGCCAAGCAGACATCAAGATCCCAGTCTAAATGCTAGATTGTTTGATTAGGAATGGGCAAGAAAAAAGAATAATTTCTAAATACAGGCAGTCCTTGCTTTGCAGTTTCAATATGCACATATTTCAAATCCCATAGTTTAGCTACTAACATCAGTTCTCCAATATCATAATTCAAATTTCAGTTATCACAGCATATTAACTGTGAGCAACTCAATATAGTACTTCTAGCTTTTCAGTACGCAAATCAGTATGTACGTAACAGATGCAAACCATGATCTATGACCAATCACATCTCTTCTTTCATAGTCTATTGATGATTGGTCATTCACATCAGTTATTCAGTTTAGGCACAGACAACAAAGTATGTCATTGTGTTGCCTCCTTGTCTCCCATGGTAAATCCACATAACATTTACAAAAATGAGTAACTGAAAGAGGAAACTGGCCAAAAAAGATCAAACTACAACAAAAAAAAGAAAAGTGGTAGCACTGGAAATACAATTTAAAAAAAATAAAAGAGCCCTGGCCGGTTTCGCTCAGCAGTAAGAGCATCGGCCCACAGACAAGAGTCCCGGGTTCGGTTCCCGCTAGCGGCACATACCTTGGTTGAAGTTTGTCCCAGGTCCTGTTGGGGTCGTGTGGGTGGCAGCCACTCAAAGTGTCTCTTTCACATTGATGTTTCTCTCCCTCCCTCCCTAGCTTTCGCTCTATCTGAAGATAAATGCAAAAAAAAATGTCCTCGGGTGAGGATAAAAGAAATGAAAAAAATAGCTGACCATGGAAATGCTGACATGGCTGCTATGTCAGCCCAACATACAACTACTGGCATACCTTGGTAATACTGCAGTATTCCAGAGCAATGCAATAAAGCAAATCGTAATCTTTTGGCTAGCGGAGTGTCTTACCTTTAATTTGTTTTTGTTTTTTGTTTTTTAAATCCTCACCCAAGTATATTTTTTCCATCTATCCTCAGATAAAGTGGGAGGGAGGGAGAGAGAAACATCGATGTGAGAGAGACACATCAACTGGTTGCCTCTGCAGGGCCGGGGACTAAACTGCAACCGAGGTACATGCCCTTGACCAGAACTGAACCCAAGATTCTTTGGTCCACGGGCTGACGCTCCAACCAGTGAGCCAAACTGGCCAGGGCTTACCTTTAACTTGTAAAAATGCAACATCTGTGAAGTGCAATAAAGTGAAGCACAGTCAAACAAAGTATGTCTGTATGGGAGAACAGCCAGGCTGATTACAGTATGTTAATAAAACAAAATATTAACATTAGAATGACAATTTTAAAAACTATGTAAAAAAATGGATTATATAAACTACAACTGAAAAATGTAGACAACAAAATGGCCCTGGCCAGTTTAGCTCAGCGGTTAAAGTATCAGCCCGAGGACCAGAGAGTCTCGGGTTCGGTTCCCACTAGGAGCATGTACCTCCTTTGCAGTTTGCCCCAGCCCCGGTTGGGGTCGTGTAGGTGGTAACCACTCAATGTGTCTCTCTCACATCAACATTTCTCTCTCTCTCTTTCTCCCTCTTTCCCTCCCGCTCTATCTGAAGATAAATGCAAAAAACGTCCTTGGGTGAGGATTTAAAAAAAAAAAAAAAAAAGGCCTATACACAGTGAGAACAATTTTGTAAAATTGTATCTATAGAAAAAAATAGAATCAGAAAAATTATAGTCTGAAAATAGTATTAGGGAATGTTGGATTTTTTTTTAAATCCTCACGATGGTATTTTTCCATTTATTTTTATGTTTTTTTTTTAATCCTCAGCCGAGGACACTTTTGCATTCATCCTCAGACAGAGCAAAAGGGAGAGAGGGAGGAAGAGAGAGAAACATCGATGTGAGAGAGACACGTCAACTGGCTGTCACCCACACAACCCCAACTGTGGCTGGAGATAAACTGCAACCAAGGTACGTGCCCTTAGCAGGAATGGAACCCCGGTCTCTCTGGACCATCGGCCAATGCTCCAACTGCTGAGCCAAACCAGCCAGGGCTTCCATTGATTTTTAAGACAGAGTGGCAAGGAAGGAGGGAGAGAGAAATACAGATGTGAGAGAGACACTTCAATTAGTTGCCTCCCACACATGCCTGAATAAGGATTGAACCTGCAACCCAGGTACATGCCCTTTACCAGGAATGGAATCTGAGACCCTTCAGCACATGGGCTAATGTTCTAACCACTGAGAACCAGGGCTATCTTAACAGTTTTTAACTGGGCATACACTGTATGTGCCTGGTTGTGCAACAGATCTTCAGAACTTTTCATCTTTCAAAACTGAAACTCTATACCCACTGAATAACATTTCCCCACTTCTCCCTCGTTTAAGCCCCTGGCAACCATCATATCCTACTTTTAGTTTCTAAAAGTCTGACTACTCTACACACCTCATATAAATGAAATCATACAGTATTTGTGTTTTTTTTTTACTGGCTTACTTCACGTAGTATAATGTCCTCAAGATTCATCCATGTTGTTATGGGACAGGATTTCCTTCTTTTTTTAAGCTTGAATAATAGTTTGTTGTATGTATATACCACATTTTTTTAAACAATATTTTCCCTTAACTGAATACTCTGACAATCTAAACAATGAATCAGCAGAGCTAATCACATACACACAAATATAGGAAACACAAAAACAATCAAGAATGACTTTGTCACTAACATTTTCTGAACTATGAGCTAACACATACACTATCAAAAAGCATAAATTCTTACCAAGAAAATAATACACAATGCAGAAATTTCTAACCAGGAACAGTGATTCCATACAGCTGTGCTGAACTAATGAGAGCAAAGATCTCCTAAAGCGCAAAAACTTGTATTGCTGTGGAAAAAGAAAAACAGAATCAAGTAACACACCCAAACAGAGGTCCTACTTCATTCTAAAGCAAGCACATAACTATAATAGTCCACACATAAACTATAATCATTGCAAAGTTCATCCTAGAAGCAAAATATCAACTATTTCTGATTTTATATCAATGTTATCATTGACTTAATATCAGAAATGAGTCCGGCTCGTGTGGCTCAGTGGATTAAGCATCATCCCATGGACTGAGATATCCAGGTTCAATTCCCGGTCAGGGCACATGCCCAGTTGCAGGTTCAATCCCAGTAGGGGGCATGCAGGAGGCAGCCAACTGATGTTTCTCTCTCTCTCCCCCTTCCTTTTGCTCTAAAATAATCAATAAAAACATATTTAAGCCCAGCCAGTGTGGCTCAGTGGCTGAGCATTGACCCATGCACCAAGAGGTCGCTGGTTCAATTCCCCATCAGGGCACATGCCCAGGCTGTGGGCCAAATCTCCAGTGGGGAGCATGCAGATGGCAGCCAATCGATGTTCTCTCTCATCGGTGTTTCTATCTCTCTCCCTCTCCCTTCCTCTCTAAAAAATCAATAAAGAAAATAAATTTGAAAAAAAAATTGCACCCTGGCCGGTTTGGCTCAGCGGTTAGAGCGTTGGCCTGTGGTCCAGAGAGACCGGGGTTTGGTTCCCGCTAAGGGCACGTACCTCGGTTGCAGTTTGTCCCCAGCCCTGGTTGGGTCGTGCGGGTAGCAGCCACTCAATGTGTCCCTTTCACGTTGATGTTTCTCTCTCTCCCTCCCGCTCTAGCTGATCAAAAAATGGAAAAGATGTCCTTAAGTGAAAATTTTTTTAAAAAAGGAAAAATGTCCTCAGGTGAGGATAAAAAAATTAATTAATTAATAAAAAAATATTTGCCCTGGCCAGTTTGGCTCAGCAGTTAGATCATCAGCCTATGGACCAGAGAGTCCAGGATTTGGTTCCCACCAAGGGCACGTACCTCAGTTGCAGTTTGTCTCTGCCCCAGTTGGGGTCGTGTGGGTGGCAGCCAGTCAATGTGACTCCCTCACACCAATGTTTCTCTCTCTCTCTTCCTCCTGCTCTGTCTGAAGATAAACGCAAAAATGTCCTCAGATGAGGATAAAAAAAATATATATATATATATATTTTAAAAGATCAAAAATAAGAAAATTAACAATATCAAGCTCTACTTAAAATAAGGACTACGGAGATAAAGAAAGTAAAATATAATAGCAGCTAACAATCTTTGGGCACTTACCATGTACCAGGTACTATTCTAATCACTTTACATACATTAATTCATTTAAACCTTACAAGAATCCTATGAAGGAGGTTCTATTATTGTCCTCAATTTGCAGATGAGAAAACCAAGGAGGAACAGAGAGTTAAGTAACTTAATCAATATTACCAACTAGCAAAAAGGAAATTCTGAGATTTTTAATCCAGGTAGGCTGGCTTCAGAGCCTGCAGTCTTAAAGATAATGTATATATACTGCCTCTACACTAAATTTTTTTAAATGTTATTTTCAGAACAATAGGAGGCAGTGAAAACGACACTAGCCGAGGAATCAGAAGACCTGAGTTCTAGCACCCTCCCCTTTCTGTACAACATGTAGCAAGAAGGCTAGACCAGCTAAGTAGTTCCTTAGTGGGTACTTCCATTCTGTCAATCTAAGAGAAAGGAATCAAGTATAAAAAAATATCAACTTTTCCTGAAAAACCTGTATTTCTTATGAAACAAGAGTTGTTTGCCCCTCTCCAATATCTTGGCAGTAAAATACCAATGAAAAAATACTTTAAAATTGTCGGGAAAAACCTAAGGAAACCTAATGAGCAAAAGATGGTCTTCCCAAATTCTGGTCTTCTTTTGTGCTTATTATAATATTTGGGCTGATCCTTCTTTAAGAAATTTCAGAAGCTACAGAACAGTAAAATTTATAGTACTTAGGTAGAAGTTATATCTTCATACCATGTCTGCTGATTCCTACAGCATCTTACAAAAAGCAGCCCATGTAAAGTATTACTTGGTCATTAACTGTACAACTTCAAGTACATTGGCTTATTCAAACACTTTTTTCCAAGTACAAGATGTATAATTGCACTATTCTGTGCAGCCCGTGGGGGTTAGCACCTTTCCCCTCAAACCACCCCCCAATAAAACCAGCATAGTTTCTGGGCTACCCCTACTGCAGCTCTCACTTTAACCATTACTTCCAGGCTGCAGAGAGGCTAGGGAAGCAGGTCAACATTTCAGTAGATACGCAAAGAATAATATTCACTCTTCTTGCTCCCAAATTGAAGTGTTTTTCAATTCCCTATTGGGTGGGTTTCTTCTGTGGTCTGGCTATGAGCTACTTTTACTGAATATTTATTATGTGCCAGGCTCTATTGATCTTATTTAATACTTTTACAGAATGGTTGGCCTAGAGCTTGCCAAGCCCTGTCTTGGTGTGCAACCATTTCTTTGTCCTCTATTCCATGCTAATGTTCCACTTTTCCCTGCATGTCTATCCTTAAGAATTTTGTAAGGGCAATGAAACTGTTTTTTAGTAATGAAGGCAAATTTAAAGAAAAAGCCCTGGCCAGTTTGGCTCAGTGGTTTGGGCATCGGCCTGAGGACCAGAGAGTCCCGGGTTCGGTTCCCGCTAAGGACACGTACTTCTGTTGCAAGTTTGTCCCTGGCCCTGGTTGGGTCGTGTGGGTGGCAACCACTCGATGCATCCCTTTAACGTTGCTGTTTCTCTCTCTCTCCCTCCCTCCCATTCTATCTGAACAAAAATATGGAAAAAAAAAATTTAAAGAAAAATATCTAATGGGCTAATGCAAATTGGTTAAAATTAGATTTTAAAAGATCTAATTTTTAATGTTTACATGAAAAAAATCAAGTTACTGAATAATATGTACAATATAAAACTATTTATGGAAACTCCACCCCACAAAATATATAATGTTATAGATACATATATATGTAAATACACAATATGAGGTTTTAAAGAATATATACTAAATGAGTCACTATCTCTGAGGCTAGGATGGCAACTGGTCAGTGGTCAAAGGAAAATTTCACTTTACGTACAATATTTGAATAGTGTGTAACAAAAATGATACCACTATACTCTTGGGAAGTTGTCTGGCAGGCAACACTAAAAATAAGGATGATAATGATAATAATGGTAATAATAGTAACACTTGTTATTACTTGTATAAAAACATTTTAAGGTCTAAAATTATCTGAACAGCTTAGCTCTTTAAAAAAAAAAAGAAGAAGCCCTGGCCGGTTTGGCTCAGCGGTTAGAGCGTTGGCCTGCGGTCCGGAGAGACCCGGGTTCGGTTCCCGCTAAGGGCACGTACCTCGGTTGCAGTTTGTCCCCGGCCCTGGTTGATTGTGCGGGTGGCGACCACTCGATGTGTCCCTTTCACGTCAAAGTTTCTCTCTCTCTCTCTCTCCCTCTCTCTCCCTCCCACTCTACCTGAACAAAAAATGGAAAAGTGTCCTCGGGTGAGGATGATTAAAAAAAAAAAAAAAAAAAGAAGTAGTAAATGGCTGTAACCATCACATTACTTTTTGGAGCTTCAGAATGGGCCTGATTTCTCACATCAAGCTCGAAACTTCCTGACTATCAATCCTGCTTGCCTTTGCAACTTAAAATGCATAAGGAAAGGTCATACACTGTTGCCATGCTCTTAAGACCAATGAGAAAAAACTAAGCTACAGTATCCTCAATCTCCCTCAGTCTTCTGAGGAGGCCAAACTACCCAGAGAGGCAAATAAAGACAGACAAACTTGATGGGTGAGAAATTATGGTCCCAAGCACAAAAGCCATTATTTCAACTACTACCAAAATCCTACCTTCCTTACTCCACTGCACCCACTCAGAAAAAACCCTGCACCAACCATCGCCCTTCTAGAGAACAGCACCCAACTGGGCAGACCAAATACCACTGTACACTCATGGCTCAAGAGACAACCCCAAAATTTGGCCAGATACTGAACGGCCAAATGCTAAAAGTCAACATCCTGTCAAAGTTGAACCTGAAGCCAAAGCTGAGTATTACCACCAGAGAATAAACCTCTTAGATATAAGAATAAATCTAAAATTTTATCAAAAGAAATAACAAAAAACTTTAGTAGTCAAGTTTTACAAACGTGACATTACATGGTAGAAACAATAATTTATTAGCACTATCAATTATTGAACTGCTTCTATGTTCACATCATTGCACATCTATGATGTTAAATAAATGGTCACTTTTAAATGAGGCCCATAGAGAAGCAACAAACTTTATGGTATCTCCTTTGTCTCTTATACTTTCTTTTCTACATTCTTTATATTCTTAATTATGTTTGGATCAAAGATAATTTACCATGGATATTTCTGTACAGAATTTTGGAGTTTTTCTCCTTGTGAAACTTTGAGGTGGCAAAGCTGACACTCTACTTTTAATTCATCTTCACGAGATATGAAGAATTTCTCAACAGGAATCTTTCCTTCATACGCTCACAGACTGCAGGGAGATAAGGGCAGATCCTTTTCTTTTTTTTTTTAAATCCTCACCGGAGGACATTTTTCCATTTTTTGTTCAGGTAGAGTGGGAGGGAGAGAGAGGAACAGAGAGAGAGAGAGAGAGAAACATTGATGCGAAAGGAACACATCGAGTGGCTGCCACCCGCACAACCGACCAGGGCCGGGGACAAACTGCAACCGAGGTACGCGCCCTTAGCGGGAACCGAACCCGGGTCTCTCAGGACTGCAGGCCGAAGCTCTAACCGCTGAGCCAAACCGGCCAGGGCCAGATCCTTTTCTGTGAGCACTATTTCCTTGATCTATATGCATTTTCATCAGACTGTTCTCATGGATGCAACAAGCATGTTCAAAGTTTAGTTAAACCCAGAGTATCCTAATCCACCACACTCTCAAACTTCATACTTTCACGACACATGACTTATCTATACATCCCTCCTTCCTCAACAGACTGGGTTATAGTGGGAAGAGGCTGGTTCTAATATTTTTGCTCAAAGCCCAGTCCTCACCTGCCAGAGTGGGAATGAAGCAAATAACACCACAGTCAGGAAATCGTGGGAACAGGCCAGGAAGAACCTTGATGCCACAGTGAGAAGTCTCAAGTGATTTCCCTCTTACCTGCCAGAGGAGGTAGTTCTGAGTTCCAGAGATAGCTCCTACCCAATTAGTAGGCTTTTAAAAACCTAACTGAAAGATAGTTTAAAATGACCCACTGAAACCAATCAAAACTGTTTTATTTATACACACCATGCCTTGTTCTAAAAAGAATTTGAGAAAGTAACTGACATATTCTATACTTACTTGCACATGCTCAAGCTCATGAAGTTCTTAGGTTCCAAAAGAAGCTAGCAGTTACACAGAGGTACTTTGCATGAATGCCATCCTCATCCTCCCCCAGCCCTGTTAGGTTACAGAAACTGCCACTACCTAGCAGGGAGGGAAGAGTGTAGCGAAGCGGTATTTCGAGAGTGGCAGCAAGAAAGGTAGCTACAGCTCTCAAACATATGCTAAGGTCTCATGAAAACAAATCTCTCCTCTCCAAATGGAATTTTGAGGACCTAAGTTTTAAGTCCTAAGTTTCGCTGATCAAATCTTGAATTAATCAGATGAGGCCAGTTATATACACATACACTAAGGCAATTTTAACTCTGCCAAATTCTGACATAAGGTAATGCTCAAATGATAGCTTACCTGTATGATGGGAAATGGAAGATAGTTCATGTTGTTAATAAAATATAGGAGGCTATAGCAATAACCCATAAATGCTCCAGCCAGTAGGAAAAAAAGGTGATATTCATTTAAGCAGGTTTGTGCAGCAGGGCCATCTAAGCTGAAGGGGAAAAGTTAGGTTATTAATTCAACAGTCAGGGACACATTACTGTTTTAGGCTCAATAATTATTGAAAGCAAAGGTTTGACCTAAACTTAAGAAATGCCCCCAATTCAAACAAAATGATTTGTTTTAGGTAAGTGTGGACAAAAAATTAACAAAACCCTTTTTCCTGATACATGAGAATTTGACCTTTAGTTAACTCTCTAGCTCTGTCCCCTGGAAATGTGATAAGGGTAAGAATGTGTACCCCGTTAGTAAGCAATGCTACTTGTAAACTGGACTAAGAGGAACTATAATCAAACTATATACTCCTGATAGAGATGCCACAACTCCGGGCTTCTCTCTGTGTTGTTACTTACAACTGGGCAAACCTTCATGAGGACCCTTTTCTTTCTTTTTTTATGGTACGTGCCCCTAGTGGGAACCGAACCCGGGACTCTGGTCCGCAGGCCGATGCTCCAACCATTGAGCCAAACTGGCCAGGGCATGAGGACCCTTTTCACTAAAAAAGATATCACCATTAGGGGAAAAAAATGCCTTATATGATAGTAGCTGGAGCTACTATCCTTTCCTACAAAAGGAAATCAAGTATTCATTAGTACTCATGAACATTGTTTTAAAGTCAGTGGAGAATAGGAAACAAGATTACTTCAGTAATCTTTTCTGATTTTCAAAGTCTGATTTTCAGTATCAACTTGCAATTCTTATCAATGCTATATGTTTAAGAACTGTCTAAATTTAAATGAAAGCATTTGACTGGAGGGAATAGTTATAATTATTTAAAATTTTATTTCTTCATTCTTCCCACACTATCCTTCCATCCAACTCAAATGTAAATGCTACCTCTTTGGCTTCTCAGAATGAAATGGAGAGCCCATGTGTCTCTGCATTCTCCACACCGCAGAAAAAGAAATCTTTTTCCAAGGAGGAGCAGGTCAGTAGTGATCCCAAAGAAACAACTGGCATCCTTCCCCAAAGAGAAACCAGTTAGTGATCCTGAAGAGATACATTAACAGGCGTATGTCCAAAAAAAAGAGGACTTTCTCTTCCAAGGATGAGCCAGTCAACAGTGGAGCTAAAGAAGCTGTTGGCAGCAAGAGCAGCAGCTCCAAGAAAAAATTCTGGACACTCTACCAGGAAGATGAGAATGGACATTTCCCCATTAGGGTATTTCCCATCCCAATCCATCTCCTATACCTCAATAAACACAAATTCGTAAGAAAAAAAAATGCCACCTCCTCTAAGAAGCTATGCCACCTCCCTGCTTTCTGAACTCCCCTCGGGTTTTCTCCACACGTGTCACTTTCTTCCTAGTACAACCTATGTCTCACACATTCCTATTTCTCTATCACATTCATGTCCATGGTGTAAATTCCCTATTGTTTTCCATTCTCAAGGAGTTTATAGTCTATGTGTGAATCACTCTTATAAATTCAAAAGCATCTAGTATAGCACCATTCATAGAATGGTTCTAAAAAACTGTTGAATTCAAAACATACAACATCAAAAAACATGTGATGTACGTTAAAAAGCACCTCCTACACAAATTTAGCAAGCAAACAATGTTCATGAACTATTAAACTATACAAATCATCTTTGGCTTAGTAACTAAACAAGATTCCTTAGAATATTTAATATTACCTCTCAGTACCAGTGCAGGGAACCACAAGAAAACTGTATCGGCCCTTGGTTATCACTGCAGCACACCAAGCCACCATCATTCCCATTGCAGCATGAATAAACGAGTGCATGAGCTGCTGAGGATGAATGATCTTCCCTATCAATTCCAGTCTGGAGCAGGGAATGGAAGGCACAACTGCAAACAGAACACGTTAATCTGGTTTTACAATCTGCAGCATATGTCAGAGGACCTAAACGATTCCTTCTCATCCTTGCACAAATACTCCAAAAGAGTTAATGTAAAATATAGTACAGAAAAAGTCCTAGTTAAAAAGTTAGGCCTGGCCGGTTTGGCTCAGCGGTTGGAGCGTCGGCCTGCGGTACAGAGAGACCCGGGTTCAGTTCCCTCTAAGGGCACGTACCTTGGTTACAGTTTGTTCCCAGCCCTGGTTGGTTGTGCGGGTGGCAGCCATTCGATGTGTCCCTTCACATCGATGTTTCTCTCTCTCTCTCTTCCTCTCTCTCCCTCCGCTCTATCTGAACAAAAAATGGAAAAATGTCCTTGGGTGAGGATAAAAAAAAAAAAAAAAAAGGTCTACGTTAAAATAATTTGAGAAAAGACTAAATACAAAGGGATACACGCAAAAAAAAAAGAAAAACTAAAGAATCTAGAGAGATGAAATCTAAGGATAGTATGAGTAACATTTTTCTTTCTTGGTAAAATTTCCTAATAGTTCAAATAGTGCCTACCCCGGCACTCTCCAATGTGTTACACACACGAAATTTTTTTTAAAAAGATAGCAATTGTCCTCCAGCAAGTTATCTTTATTTCAGCATTTAAAAATTAGCAATATACAGTCCATCTATGAAAAATAAACCACGAACTAGGCAAATACTGACAGCACTGAATACAAAAATAAACGTCTGTATGAGAATTTCTAACACCTCTGATACTCCACAAGTGTTTTCTGGAAGTGAGCTGGGGGAGGTGAGTGTGGGTGTGAGGTGAGGGAGGCTGATCACTGAGACAACTGTAACAGGATTCCCTAACCTATCTATGTAGGCATTCTTCTTTTAATATACTCAAAGTGAGGAGGTTGTGGGAGGCAAAATATTAAGTGTGAAGGGAAAGAGCTTAGGTGCGTTACCCTTTGGGGAAAGGCTGCTATCACCTCTCCCTCTCCATCAGAAATGCCCACAAAAGGCAGTGTGAAGAATGCACACTATAAGCCAAGGAGTTCTGTACATGGCTTGAACAATAAAAAGATCCATTGCCCAGCCAGTGTGGCTCAGTTGGTTGAGCATCGACCCATGCACCAAGAGGTTGCTGGTTAGATTCCCCAGTCAGGGCACATGCTCAGGTTGGGGGCCAAATCCCCAGTGGGGGGCACAATGGAGGCAGCCAATTGATGTTCTCTCATCGATGTTTCCATCTCTCTCTGCCCCTCCCTTCCTCTCTCTCAAAAATCAATAAGGAAAAAAAAATCCATCAACAGTAGCAAGGGATTAGGAAAGCAAAGGAAAAGGGTATGTACTGTAACATCCAAAGTCAGACTTGAAATTTTATATTCTGTGTGCGTGTGTATGTCTCTCTCTCTCTCCTTCCACTCTAAGAATCAATGGAAAAAATATCCTCGGGTGAGGATCAATAAAAAAAATAATAAAATAAATAAATAAATCTAATTTTTTTTATTGTGGTAAAATACACTTAAAATTTATTGTTTCAACCATTTTTAAGTGTATAGTTTTGTGGCACAAGTACATTTACATTGTTGTGCAAACATCACCATCATTCACCTCCAGACTTTCCCATCTTCCCCAACTGAAACTCCATCCCCATGAAACAATTTCCCAAACCCAAGCCCCTAGCAACCACCATTCTACTTTTTGTCTCTCTGAATTTGACTACTCTAGGTATCTCATAAGTGGAATCACATGATATTTGTCTGAAAAGGTCTAAATATTTTTTAAAAAGAGAAATTAACATTCAAATTTTAAGATAAGACATTCAAAGCATATGATTCTGTATACATTTGTAAAACTTTGACATAAAACACAGCCTCACACTAGCTGTGGGTCAGTTGTTAGAGAACGAGCCTGCGCACTAAAGGATCGTGGGTTTGATTCCCAGTCAACGGCACATACCTGGGTTGCAATTGAATGCCCAGCCCCAGTTGAGGCACGTGCGGGAGGCAACCAATTGATGTGTCTTTCTCACATCGATGCTTCTCTCTTTCTCTCCCACTCTCCCTCCCTTTCGCTCTCTCTCTAAAAAAATCAGTGGAAAACATATCCTGGGGTAAGGATTAACAACAACATAAAATTTAAAACACAGCCTCTATTATACACCTCAAATACAAAATGCACTGAGTGTGCCCTTAATAAAATTAATTAGACATTTTAAAGATAATTGACTTTAGAAAACTCACCTGAATAAAACTCCACATTGAAAATACTTATTATTATTATTACCACTGACAGCAGCAGGAGGTAAAATATTACATAGGAACTATATAGATCATTGAAAGAATCTAAAACACAAGAGAGAGGAATTAGTAAAGATCATTCAGTCATGTGGTCATATTCGGTATACTGCAACAGAAAAGGGGTTTGAATCTCAACTCTAATTTTAATTTTCAAAGTTATCCTTTCTTTAAGAATGTCCTCAAACACTGCTGACAAGTCCTATAGGAACTACAATGTGAGTTATCTGGACCAAGCTTTGGGTCCTTTAAAATGATACTACAATTTCTTTTAGATGACTTGATGTCAACATCAGACAAAATACTACCATATGCAAACATATTTCATCATGTGAAACAGAGAAGTACCACATTTAGTAATTTACCAACAAAGTTTCTTTTTAAAATGTTAATATTTTTCAGCCCTGGCTCGTTTGGCTCAGCGGTTAGAGTGTCGCCCTGCAGTCCGGAGAGACCCAAGTTCGGTTCCCACTAAGGGTGCATACCTTGGTTGCACTTTGTCCCCAGCCCTGGTTGGTCGTGCAGATGGTGGCTACTTGATGTTTTCCTTTCACATCGATGTTTCTTTCTTTCTCTTTCTCTCTCTCTCTCTCTCTCTCTCTCTCTCTCTCTCTCTCTCTCTCTCCCTACCTCCCTCCCTCTCCCTTCTTCCCTCCCTCCCTCTCTATCTGAACAAAAAAGAAAAAGGGAAAGTGTCCTCAAGTGAGGTTAAAAAAAAAAATATTTTTCAGATCTCTTCTTTAAAAATGCAATTAGGCCCTGGCTGGTTTGGCTCAGCGGTTAGAGCGTCGGCCCGCAGACCGGAGACCGGGTTCGGTTCCCATTAAGGGCATGTACTTCAGTTGCAGTTTGTCCCAAGCCCCAACTTGGGGTTGTGTGGGTGGTGACCACTCGATGTATCTTTCTCACATCGATGTTTCTCTCTCTTCCCCCTCTTTCCCTCCTGCTGTCTGAAGATAAATGCAAAAATATCCTCGGGTGAGGATAGAAAATAAAAATAAAAATGCAATTAGCCTCTATAGCTATAAAACTTACATTTCTGGAAATAGTAAAATCCATAGATCAGCTAAATTAGCTAAATTAAATAAAAACAGAAAAAAAATCAGGATGTCCTTATGAAATACTAATAGAGTTACATTTTAGAGTAGTTCATCAATAATCCATTTCAAAAGTATGGCAAACTAAAATATGCCTCAACACATGAACAAAAGAAATAAAAACAGCAAGGACATGTTTGCTGAATGGACTAACACAATAATAAAACCAAATACCTTTAAAAGTATAATTCATTGACTAAAATTAATAAAAAGAAATATTTATTAAGCATCCACAATTAAACCCAAACATTGTACTGGGCTAAAACAAAGATCTGATCTATGTGACTGGAAAAAAGTAAGGAAAGAATACTTCTCTGGAAAGACTTTGTGAAGCAAAAGTTGAAGAGGACAAGTAACATTTGATTTTTTAAAAATGGCATAAATCAAATCCATTTATGAGACTGGAGAGAAAGTGTTATTAGGATTAGAGAACACTTGGCCATAAAATGGCAAAAAGTCTTTATCTTAAGCTCCAATTCTGAACAATTTATAACGGTTCTAGATTACAATACTGAATATTCTGAGATTGTGCCTAGACAGCCAAGATCAAAAGATCAATGAGTGCCTGTCTGGCATGGCTTAATGGACTGAGTGTTGTCCCATGCACCAAGAGGTCACTGGTTTGGTTCCCAGTCAGGGCACATGCCTGGGTTTTGGGCTCGATCCCCAGTGGGGGGTGTGCAGGAGGCAGCCTACCAATGTTTCTCTCTCTCTCTCTTTCCCTTCCTCTCTTTCTAAAAGATCAATAAAAATATATTTTTTTAAAAAATCAATGAGTAATACAGATTAAGGCAAGGTGGTTAGTGAAATATTTGCCATCCCTGCACTGGTTTATGGCTTAATTCCATCAGACCTGTGGGATCCATCCAAGAAGTGATTGATATGTCTCAACAAAAAACTTAACATGACTTGAATTCTTTAGCAGCAACATCTCTGAAGGCCATAAAGTATAAAGCTTCAAAATCCTTGAAAACTGGCATTTTCTTCTGAAAAATTAAATTAACAACACACTTCCCACTTTCCAAAGCTAAAGAAATTTATTGTTATTGTTGTTGAGAGGATATAAAAAGTATTTCAAGCCCTGGCCGGTTTGGCTCAGCGGTTAGAGCGTCTGCCTGTGGTCCGGAGAGACCCGGGTTCGGTTCCCGCTAAGGGCACGTACTTCGGTTGCGGTTTGTCCCCGGCCCTGGTTGGTCGTGCGGGTGGCAGCCACTCGATGTGTCCCTTTCACATCGATGTTTCCCTCTCTCTCTAAATAAAAAAAAAAAAAGGTATTTCAAGAATATTTGTGTTTCTTAGCCTTAGGCAAGGTTTTAAAGACTTCAAAACCTAGTCTGGCAACATGTCTCTTTTTATTTTTTTAAGTCTAGTGTGGCACAGTAAAAACATTGGTTTTGAAGTCAGAGACTAATGTTCAAATCTTCAGTTACTCACCAGCTGTGTGTCTCTGGAGACTTTAACCTGAGTCTCAATTTCCTCATTTATAAAGTAGAAAAGTAGGGTTAATACCTCTTTCTTACACATAATTATTGGAAGAATAAGAGGTAATATACTTAAGGTTCTTAGCAGTGCCTGGCAAACAATTGATACTATTGACAGTTCCAAATCAATCCTCTCATTTAACTCTATGTTCCTTAGTCTTTAACTCTTTCCTCCTTTTCTCTCTTCTCATCTTTCTTATTAGCCACAATACAGAAATGAAATATTGTTCATTTTAAACATTTTTAAAGAGATATCTCATATTTTCTATACACAATTTTTAAATAGATAAAAGGAGCCCTGGCCCTGGCCGGTTTGGCTCAGCGGTTAGAGCGTCGGCCTGCGGTCCGGAGAGACCCGGGTTTGGTTCCCGCTAAGGGCACGTACCTCGGTTGCAGTTTGTCCCCGGCTCTGGTCAGTCGTGCGGGTGGCAGCCACTCGATGTGTCCCTTCACATCGATGTTTCCCTCTCTCTCTCTTCCTCTCTCTCCCTCCTACTCTGCCTGAACAAAAAATGGAAAAATGTCCTCGGGTGAGGATAAAAAAATAAATAAATAAATAAATAAATAAATAAAAGGAGCCCTGGCTAGTGTGGTTCAGTGGTTAGAGTGTCAGCCCTCATACCAAAGAGTCTTGGGTTCAATTCCCAATCAAGGGCACATACCTGGATTGCAAGTTTGATTCCTGGCCCAGTTGGGGCATGTGCAGGAGACAACCAATCAATGTGTCTCTCTCACGTCAATGTTTCTCTCTCCCCCCCCCCTTTCTTTCTCTCTCACTGTCTCGCTTTCTACCTTCCTCTCTCTCTCTCCCCACCCTTCATTCCTCTCTTCCTCCCAATGGAAAAAAATATCCATGTATGTAACAATGAATAAAATATCCTCGGGTGAGGATTTTTTCCCCTTTATTGATTTTAGGGGGGGGGGAGGGAGAGAGAGAGATGGAAATATCAATGAGAGAGAACATTGACTGGCCACCTCCTGCATGCCCCCTCCTGGGGATCAGGCCCACAACCTGGGCATGTATCCTGACCAGGAATCGAACTGGCAACCTCTTGGTGCATGGGTCAATGCTCAACCACTGAGCCACACCAGCTGGACTCAGGTGAGGATTAACAACAACAACAAAAATTAAAGGAACAGTTCAGTTCTCCCTAAAAAGACAATGTCAAAAAAGATGTCAAATAGAAGAGGCAAATAAACAAAAATTAAGTTTTCATTTATATAGTCTTCTAATGATTTTTTTTTCAGGTTTACTAATCTTATTATATAAGGGAAAGATGGTAAGTTAGGAAGGGAAGATTACCTCAAAGTGAATGTTTTGCCATGTCAAATAAGCAGTAATTAAAAAATAAATTTGAAACATAATGCAACTTTTATGTTGAGAAGTAGGTCCTGTAAATTTGTTTTCCCCAAATTGAATATTGCTTACCAGAGAGCCACTGTATCGGATGAAATAAATCAATTCTGCTGAAGACTATAAATACTGTGGTACAGATGGGTAGAAGCAGCACTGACCAGACAATACTTGTAACTATCCTCCAGCCCAAAACCTGTAACAAAGTCAATAAAATCACTCAATCATGAAGTCAGTTAAACTATTTGTTATGCAAATCCTATCTTTTCTTAAAGGATGTTCATCACTAATATTAACACCCAGATCATAATCCATGCAGACATATATAAACCTCAATGGTTATTACTATTAATCATTTTAATTTACATACCACCACATAATCTTGTAATATCAGTGAACTGATGGTTGTACTAGTCCAGAGTCAGGTGTCATATTAAATATCCAAAGGAGGGGGGGGATAGTTTACAACTGTACTTTACAACAACTTATACTTGTCTCTCTAGGTTTAACTGACAGATATATCAATATCTAAAGGCTATATATTTTATGGAGACCACCTGTATACTGTAACTGTGTTTACAATTATTAGATAGGCACACTCCTTATTGGGCAACTGACACATGGTATTCATGTCTGAATCACCAATGCCTACCATGTAAGAGACACAATATTTACTGCTGAATAAGTGAATACAAGAACAAAGTGAATACTGCATAGTTTAAAGCATGAAAGTGACAATCGGATTTATATTTTGGAAGGTAAAACACCCTTGTGTTTGTAACGTGGCTATGATGAAGATGGATAAGAGGGGACAAGACCCCAAAAGGAAGCAGTCCACCGAAACTGCCCAAGCCAAAGATTACAGTCGGTATCTGAAGGAAGGCAGAGGCAACAGGAAAGAAATAAAGGGGGGAAATTGTAGCCACATTTGTGAAACACAATCTACAGGACATCAGTGACTGACAATATATATGGTAAAAAAATAGGTAAGACTTAAGGACTCAAAAGTTTTTAGCTTGGGATACACAGAAGGCTGTTCGGCTGGGGTAGTCCAGAAGGGATACTACTCCTGTTTCTCTTTGCCTGGCACACAATGGATGCAGAACTGTTGCTTCAACAAGTAATTCCTCATCTCAGTACCACAGCGCACATATTCCTCCAACTTAACAAAGAATACCTGCCCTGCTTACCTAGTGCCCAACCCCAGCCTCTGCTAAACCCACGCATTCACATTCTTTCCAATTATTCGCTCTTCTTATCCCAACAAGTTATTTTGCACCTACTAGGTACACCACCCCTATTCCCCATTCCCGGCCCCGACTCCCATGCAGGTCAGCCCTCCCACTCTGACGGACTTCCACTCTGGACTCCCCTTTCACAAGTTTGCACTCTGAGCGTCCCGCAGGCACACACCCTCTACCCAGCTTTCCTTAGCACACTCCTCCCACCACGTTAACCTGCTTCCACCCAGGACGCCCCCAACAACCCTAAAGGCTCCCCTTCAGGAGGTCCCTTCCCCACGCGCTCCTCACATTACACTCGGGCCCGCCCCTCCCCCGCCCAGCACGCACGCGCGGTCAGCGCCGGTCCCCAGCAGCCCGACCCCAACAAGCAGTTCAGCGCACACACTCACGCGCCACAAGATATCCTGCGACCCGCTGGCGCAGGGCGGACTCGCGACCGTGGCCATGGTGATGGCGGCCCCTACTCCAAGCGGTGCAGGAGACAGTGAGCCCGCCCGCCACCGCTGTTCAAAGGAAGGAAGGCCCCAGGAGGACCCCGCTGGGGCTGCCTCAAACGCCGCCTGAGCGAAGCCCTGCCCAGGCGCCAAATCATCCCTTCGAGGTTTCGTCTGGACCGGCCCAGCAGGCCAGAATTGCTCCGCAGTCCCGTGCCCCAAAGGAGCTCGGGATTCCAGAAATCGCTCTCTGGAATCAAAAAGGTCTCTCCGAAGCAGGGTCCAGCGAGGCGCCAGAGATTGGGGGCGGTGCTGCTGCATGCTGGGAACTGTAGGCCCCACGGCTCTTTGGCTGCAAGGACGAGCGTTGCATTCTGGGACTCGGAGTTACACAGTACAGCATGCTGGGAGACGAAGTCTTCCGCGAAAGTACCTTGTGGCGTGCTGGGAATCGTAGTCTTTTATAAGGCCTGTACTAGCTTGTGTCTACAGCTAGATAGATCTGGCAAAATGATTTTCCCTCATTTCTGCGGGTTTTATTTTATTGACCATCTGAAAGTGGAATCAAAGGATATAGTGGCTCTCTCCACAAAGGTACTTACTAGTTTTTAAAATTCTCTTTCCCGCCCAGCTCCTGTGGCTCACTGGTTGAGCATGACCCATGCACCAAGAGGTCCCCGGTTCAATTCCTGGTCAGGGCACGTGCCCAGGTTGTGGGCCCAATCCCCAGTAGGGAGCATGCAGGAGATGGCCAGTTGATGTTCTCTCACATTGATGTTTCTACTTCTCCTTTCCTCTCTTTAAAATCAATAAAGAAAATACATATAGATATATTTTAATTATCTTTTCCGAAGCCTAGAGGTACATTTGGTTTTGTAAAAATCTGGTTTCTAGTTCCATCCAGCCCGGCCACTTGCTAAATGGAGTATCTTAAACTTCTGTGAGCCTCCATTTCACCTATAAAGTAACGATAAAAATAAAGATAGCATCCAGTGATGTGAAGATGTAATAAAATGCTATATAAATATTATTAATTTCCTGCCAGTGAGGAAAAAGGCTTTTCACCAACCCACGTCCCAGTTAATGAAGTCTTCTCTAATTGCGTTAGGCCTCAGTGAGACACCTGGAGGCATGCTGCTAACACCTTTTAATACCCAATTACATACCACAGTCAATGTTCAGTACTCTAAAGACAGGGAGAGAGATTGAGTGATTTACTGACTGTGAAGAAACTCATAGTCGTGAGACAAATTGGCACCACACACACTGCTCAGCAATGCTTGCTAATAATGGTTTCCCAAGCTGCTTTAAGATTATATCATGTGCCCTGGCCCGTTTGGCTCAGCGGTTAGAGCATAGGCCTGCGGACCAGAGAGTCATGTTCAGTTCCCGCTGAGGGCATGTACCTCAGTTGTGGTTCATCCTGGGACCAGTTGGAGTCGTGTGGGTGACAACCACTGATGTGTCTCTCTCACATCGATGTTTCTCTCCCTCCCTCTCTCCCTCCTGCTCTATCTGAAGAAAAATGCAAAAATGTCCTCAGGTGAGGATAAAAAAAAAATTATATCATGCTCACTTCCAAAAACATGTTAATGTCACTCATGTCTGAAGCAGGGCAGGTCAAACTGGGAATACATACAAAGATCAAATCTTGAAGGAACCTTCTGTCTGGTGGTGGAGAAAGATTACAAAGAATTACTCTAAGCCCTGGCCAATTTGGTTCAGCAGTTAAAGCGTGGGCCTGTGGTCCAGAGAGACCAGAGTTTGGTTCCCGCTAAAGGGCACGTATCTCAATTGCAGTTTGTCCCTGGCCCTGGTTGGGTTGTGTGGGTGGCAACCACTTGATGTATCCCTTTCACGTTGATGTTTCTCTCTCTCTCTCTCTCTCTCTCTCTCTCTCTCTCTTTCTCTCTCTCCCCCTCCCACTCTATCTGAACAAAAAATGGAAAAATGTTCTCAGGTCTAAGAGGGGATGGGGGGAGAGATAAACCACAGAACTTATATGCATGTACGCATAACTGATGGATATGGACAACAAAGCTGGGAACGGGGTGGGGATGGGGAGGAGGGTGTCAATGGGGAAAAAAGTAGAAACATCTGTAACAAAAATAAATTAATGGAATGAATAAAAATAAAATCGTTAAAAAAAAAAAGAAGAATTACTCTAAATGAGTGTCCATAAACAAACCTCAGGTTACTTGCATTAAGATCACCTGGTTTAGTTCCTTTGTAGAAAGTACTATACTTGTCTGCCCTAGTATCTAGTTTACCCTTCTTTCTTAGTAATAAAAACCCAATTTTTAACTAAGCATGTGGCTACATTTTCCAGTCTCTCTTGCAGCTAGGTGGAGCCAGGTGACTGAGTTCAGGCCAATAAAATATAATCAAAGTATAGCATGGTAGTTCTCAGAAAACCCCCTTAAAAGAGAGCTAGCACATGATTTCTGCCTCTTCTCAATTCTCAGATCCTTTCTCCATCCAACTGCATGGAACTTGGATGCATTGCCTGGAGCTCTAGCACCATATTGAAGCACAGGAAGATCATACTCTATGCAAAATCAAGTGCTGAACTAAAAGGAGGCTGAATTACTGGGAGCAACCATACCAATCTTGGGCTACCTGCCTTTAACCTCCTGACTTCATTTACCCAAGCGAGACAATTATTTACTATTTAAGCCACTTCTGTTTCTTTAACACACAATCTGAAATCATCTTATTTATTGTAATTACTTATTTATTGTCTGTCTTCCCACTAGTATACAAGCTTCATGAGGGCAGGGATTTTGTCTATCTTATCATTGTTTTCAAAATGCCCATAACCATCTACAATTGTTCTCTTAGCCTTAGTTTGTTCATCAATAATAAGACCATCTTGCAAGACTTCCTTTGTAAATTATCTGGCACACAGTAGACTTTCAATATATCATAAATATTACTAGTAGAAAGATTACAGCTTTGGAGTCAAATAAACATGGGTGTGAATACTTGTGCTGCCACTTAGTAGCTGCAGGATATTGGGAAAGTCTTTCTCTATCTAAACTGATATAAAAAGATTAAAAAACATTCCTACAGACAATGAAAGTATGCCAGAAAAACACATGCACCAAACAGGTGAAACTATAACCTAATTCTTCAAATTGGAAGTAAAATAAGAAAATCACACAAGATATGAAAGAACAATATTAGTATCAGAAAAACTCAGAAATTGTGAGATAGAACTCAGGGAATAGACACAAAGGAAAAATCATTCTAGAAATGAAGTGGAATTGGAACTCAAGAGCAAAGAAACACAACAGTAATGTCATAACAGAAAGAACATTTTTTAAATTAAAAAGGAATAAAGTAAGAAAAAGTATTTTTTATTTATTTATTTATTTTATTTTATTTTTTTTATCCTCACCCGAGGACATTTTTCCATTTTTTGTACAGATAGAGTGGGAGGGAGAGAGAGGAAGAGAGAGAGAGGGGAACATCGATGTGAAAGGGACACATCGAGTGGCTGCCACCCGCACAACCAACCAGGGCCGGGGACAAACCGCAACCGAGGTACATGCCCTTAGCGGGAACCGAACCCGGGTCTCTCCGGACCGCAGGTGGACGCTCTAACCGCTAAGCCAAACCGGCCAGGGTGAAAAAGTATTTTTTAAAGTAATAAATAGAGAAGATAGGCAAAGAGTATCTAACATATGACTAATCTACTGAAAAATCTACTCTCATTTCATTTATTTTTATTTTTTAAGTTTTTATTATTATTACTTTTTATTGATTTTAGAGAGAGGAAGAGATAGAAGTATCACTGAGAGAGAACATTGATGTGGCCGCTTCCTGCTTGCCCCTGACTGGGGATCAGGCCCACAACCTGGGCATGTGCCCTGAACAGGAATCGAACCAGCAACCTCCTGGTGCATGGGTCGATGCTCAACCACTGAGCCACACAGGCTGGGCTATTCTCTCATTTTAAACCACCAATCTCTCAACAAGGTACAGGGATATGGGAATTACGTTTTGTTCTAAAATTGTTCTAATATTGTTAATGAGTCATCATTTTCCTAAAGTTTTTCATTTCAAAACCTTCACTTATTTTATAGTCTTGGTCATCTTATAGTCTAAAAAAAAAATTAGGGGGTAGTGGTGGTAAAGAACTCTTCTTTCTCCCCATCTGTAACCTGTTTAGTGTCAATTCAGTCCTTCCAAGAGACAAGGTTGCCGATTCTTGATAAAATGTGATTAGCCATTTCCAAAGGCAAACTAGGACATTTATTTTATTTTATTTTATTTATTATTATTTTTTTTTATCCTCACCCGAGGACATTCTTCCATTTTTTGTTCAGGTAGAGTGGGAGGGAGAGAGAGGAACAGAGAGAGAGAGAGAAACATCGACGTGAAAGGAACACATCGAGTGGCTGCCACCCGCATGACCGACCAGGGCCGGGGACAAACTGCAACCGAGGTACGTGCCCTTAGCGGGAACCGAACCCGGGTCTCTCTGGACCGACGCTCTAACCACTGAGCCAAACTGGCCAGGGCTAGGACATTTATTTTAAAAGTCTCTTGTGCAACAAAATTTTGATAAGCTAAGCAAAAAAAAAAAAATACATTCAAAACACATGAATAGTTCCTAGATGGGGGTGGTGGTGGCATGGAGAACACATACTCCCCAGGATAAACCTAAGTCATTTATTTATATATATATATATATATATATACTCTCACACACACACACACACGTATATGTATGTATATGTATATATATATATACACACATACATACATATATACGTGTGTTGTATACACATATATAGATGATAGATAGATTTTTTTTTTTTTTTTATCCTCACTGGAGGACATTTTTCTATTTTTTGTTCAGGTAGAGTGGGAGGGAGAGAGAGGAACAGAGAGAGAGAGAGAGAAACATCGATGTGAAAGGAACACATCGAGTGGCTGCCACCCGCACAACCGACCAGGGCCGGGGACAAACTGCAACCGAGGTATGCGCCCTTAGCGGGAACCGAACCCGGGTCTCTCAGGACCGCAGGCCGACGCTCTAACCGCTGAGCCAAACTGGCCAGGGCGATAGATAGATTTTTTTACACCAACTCCAAGCCTTGGAGAATTTGAAAGGCACAGCAAATTGAAAATAAGGCTCAGGCTCCTCCTTCTTCCTTGCTCTACCTCTTGTTGGCTGTTGGGTGGGAGCCAGGCTATACCTCTTGCTAGCTATTGGGTGGAGATGTCCTCTGCTGTTTG